AAATACACCATCAGCCCCTAATTCTTGATATACCACTCTTCATGGCCTATTCACGTTTTATCTGTATTCGAATAACTTCACAAACACACGGTGCAGTGCTACTATACTTCTTTTACTGTACAATCAGTCATTTTACTGCCTAAATTTTATTTGAAAATGAAATAATTATTAATGGACGTAATATTTTTTGCAATTATTTTTCCAAAGGTAGAGTAATTTTACAAATGGTCAAATAATTTTTCAAATGAGCAACAATTATTTTTATTGTACAAATAGTTCTTCTAATGAAGTAAGATACTGTACATTTATATTTAATACTGCTAAATTTTTTGCTTTTTGATTTGGACTAGTGGTCATTCTACCAGCCTCATTCTGTATAGTGATTTTTTAAATTTATAGGGTGATCCCATAGAAAGTTGCTTTTTCAAGTGACTAAAAAATAATGAACACACAGTTATTTTTCCGAACGGGTTTTTTTTTGTATTAGAAAGGTACATCCGTGGGGTTATGTATGGAATACAATTTCACCCTTGTAACTGCCGTGGGTGGCCTTGCAATACGCTAAAGAGCTAATTACAACTACAGTACATAATTATATGCAGGGATATATTTTCTAAAAGTAATGGGGTAGAGTAGCACATTTTCTGTAGGATATTCAAGCACCCAAGCGGCCAAAACTCGTTATAAATTAAATATTTACACGAAGCGAACAAAAGTAAAATCCGATAGATTTGAAAATATGATTAAAGTTTAGCTGGCCGTAAATTGAACTAAAACCTAAAATCCAAATGAACGCATTGGAACAAGAAGATTAGATAAGTGTAATTACTGATTTATTAGACAAGGCGCAGTACTGAGAAGGGTGTGACGTCCTATTTTAAATATGAACTAATCGGATTACATATGGAGGCAAAAAATCTGGTTATCTTTAATTTCGTTAAACGGTTGTTTGATATTCACGTCTTTTCGGCGGCCGGCGTCGGTGTCATTTCATCGAAATAAAGTTTTGCGCGTCACGTTAATCGAAATTATTCAATAATTTCGTCTAACAACAACAACGGCGGAATTTTGACTAATTGTTTGAGATTTCCATACGAATGAGATAATGAAATATGGTAACATTAATATGGATATATGCTCCAAAGCGAACTGTAAGCAAGAGCGTCGCAGGGTTCCTTATGAAAGAGTCCGTAATGGTGACATTAGCGGAGTTTGCAATCTGTATGTATGAGATTTTAAGTAATTTGCATAAAATGTGTCTCAGTGATTCATATATCTTATTGCGTTTGATATATGATTTCTGCTTAGTTCTGTTTGAAATCCAATTTGTGCATTCATCTTAGCGGCCGATAGAGGTGCTCTTGGATGCGCCTGCAAGATGTAAATTTGCACATACCATTTGTGGTCAATTTTATCTGGAAAACTTCATAAATTACTATTTCGGCATCATTAATTGCCTGAAGAAAATCACCCCGTTTTCATTGTTCATGTTCAATTTTTGAACCGAAAATCGTAGCGTAGCTTAGAACTCTTCTAATAATAAACAAAACAAGCTCAATGATCTAGAATTAATGTGGTAACATAAAGAGGAACAAATAAGTGTCACGTGCCGGAGCGGAACCAATCGCGGTCTAGGAAGTGATTCTTTACAATCGTTGAGTCAATCATAATTGATTTAATACGCCTTGTAAGCGCGGGCATTTTGAATCTACCGTAAAACTAGATTATATGGGAGAATATGTCCCTTTAGGGTGATCCACTAATAATGATGTCGTGTCAAATTTGACATGAATATTACATTTTCTTTTCAGCAGAATTCTTGCAAGCCTTTACAACTTCCCTTTAATTAAGTTGCAACTTTGTAAAAATAAATAAGAATTTTAGTCCGTAGGTCACACTAAAATGTTGAAGTTTGTTTTTATAGTTTTTCTTTATATCTACTTACACTTCTAGTCGTAAAAGATAACGAAATTAACGTTTGTGTGAATATAACTTAATTACAAGTGAGGAAAATTCGACAGCTCAAATCCTTTAAAAGAGTTTAGTATGCTTTTTTCCGAAAATGTTACCAAACTGCCAATAGTATTATTGCCGTGCCAGTGGTGTACGATGCAATATAAGCACTAAATTAACAATTCCCAAAATGTTCGTTC